GGCCACCTACTTTGTGCTACCAGGTACTAAGTGCACATAATCAAAGACAGAGTTCTTGCTGCATGGGAGCTTATTTTAAGTGAAGGTGAAGAGACATACATATTATGTGCCCTGAGGAGAGTAAAGAAGGGTGGTGGGCTTGAGAGTGTCTGCACTGCAGGATGCAAGCGTCAGTCAGGGATGGTCTTTGGGGTGGGGATGCTTGAATTCAGACATGGTAGGCTGGGCTCTGGCAGGGGTGAGACGATCTGAGGACAAACATCTCAGGCCAAAGGGGCAACACAAGCACTAATTCTAATACAGCAAAGGGTTAGGTGAGCTTGAAAAGTCTATAAACAAAATGTGTCCTTAGTTGCCATTTAGGTGGCTCAGATGGCAACCCCATGAAAGACAGACTAAAACCCTTCCCAGCCCTGAACCATCTTCATAGCATGCTTTAGTCCATTGTTGTAACCGTTGTCGAGCTGAGAGCCTCCCAACCTAGAGGGCGCCTCTTCCACACCATATTGGATCACAGTATTCTGCTGTGACCGTTAACATTTTTGCTGTCTGATTGTCAAAGTAGTCTTCCTCACTTCTCTCAGTTCGGACGCTCCCCTGAAATCTGTCTGCCTCGTGTAACCCTGCTGGTATTGGAAATAATGATGGCATAGCTTCCAGCATCACAGCAACATACATGCCTTCACAGCCCAACATAGACAGGTCTTTCATGAAATGCTGCACCCAGAATAAAGTGTCAGTTTGTATGTGGGCTGAAAGCAAAGGGCTCAGGACTGGGCTACCAGGCTTCTGCTTGCATATTTAGATCATGCTATGCTCCCAGTTCCTACTGAATTTGTTGTCAGCTGACCATCTCATCACTTCTTCATTCAAGTTGCTGTTGGGCCACGTCTTCTCCATCCTGCATTTGAGTGGTTAACGTCTTTCTCACTTCCCAGACCAGCAGGAAGAAGGAGGCCTTAGACTGTGCAGCGTGGGCACAGAAAACTAGTGCTTGCATTGACTGGTGTGAGTGAAAATCGGTAACAATCTGGAAGGCAGCTGAATGCACAGCCGGGTAGCATTTTGTTTGGGTGTATGTGGGGTCACCGTGAGTCGGGCTGGCTAAGTGATGACTGACGGCAACATCTGCAAATCGGAGCGTGTCCCAAGGCCAGGACCACTCAGCAAGCTTGAGTGCTAACCTTTGAGGAGGCTGGAGCTGTGAAACTTTGAGAAGAAAGAACTTCGTAGAAGTTAAACAGTTATTCATGAACAATCTGAAGAGAAAGTACACTGATTGCTCCTGAGGACAGAAAGGCAAGACGTGGAAATTTTGAGTCAGTAGAGAGCATTTTGACCACTAAAGTGGATGAAAATGGCAAACTTGGATTGAAAGAGTATTTGAGCAGAAAGGAAAGATGGCACTTCCGTGTACTGTGAAGGGCGTTTCTGTGCTGAAGTGGAAGGTGGGATGATTCTCAGGTTGGTTCTGAGTTCGGTTGTAATATATTAAGTCTATGATATGCAAAAGTTCAATGAAATGTCCCTTGAAATAAAACCTATGGGTAAAACAGATTTTAAACGTAGAAGCAAAACAGAGTGGTGCCATGTCCACCCCCTCCCACTCCAGGCCCCGTTTCTGTTTTGGTCATCCTCCGAGCTGAAGGAGCTATCGCTGTCTCGTCCTGTACCTGGCCCACTTCCTGTCAGCACTATGGAGGAAATGGGGCCAGTTTGGCTGTTGGAGCCCAGGGAAGAAGAGACTGGCTTCACTCAGCCCTGGCTGGTTCACTGAATCAGGTTCTTAGAGGGCTTGCTTCTGATGATTATCACAGGGCTGAAAAGCCATGAGCTGAGTGGATTAGTGTTCCTCCCCCCCACCCCCCGTGTTTGAGCAAGTGCCCAGAGGTTCAGCCCCAGGCTGGAGCTCTGCTTTTGCTCAGAACCTGGAGCCCCCACTGGGCTTGGCAAGAGCTGGGGTGGGCCCCCAAGTTCAGCAATCTTGTCCTCACTGCGAAGCACATCTTGTTGCTTTGACCCTGTTCTTTCTCTTTCTACCCCTACTCCCCTCACCTCTCCCTCTTTCCCTCTCTTTTAGCAGCCCTTGGCTACCCAAATTCTGAAGGACAGGACATGGACTCTGGTCTTTTAGTAGAAAGAGGTCTGCGTAGTTCTGTGCCCCTGATCTTTGCCCCTTCACTGGCCTTTGTGCTCTCAGTGAGGTTTATTTCAACTCTGCCTCCATCCAGTTGACCACAAGGCACACAGTCTCACATGTGGGCAGGGAAGAGAGTCCAGGCACGAAAGCCGTGAGATCTTGCCTATGGTTGTGAACAGAGTCCACTGACAAGATTCGTGAAACAGTTTAATAGAGTGTAACAGACCGGCCAGGGCAGGTCGACCTCTCTGGACCTCAGTTTCCTCATCTGCAAAATGGAAATAATTATCTGTGGAAAGTGCTCAGTAAATACTGTCTCTCTGCTTCCTCTGCTCAAGGAAAGCACCTTCTCTCATAAAATAGAAAAATGAAATCATTAAAAGCGTTCTTTTGTATTTACATAAATATTTACCTTGGAAAGATGCCACTTGAAATGTCCAAGTGACTTGTTTACATCAGTCTGTAGTTTCTAACATTCTTATAACCTTATGTTCATCTGGACAAATTATGAAAAATGTTCGTGTTTAAATTAATTGAAAAGGTAGGATTCTTTCTCTATTTTTTTAAATGTAAGACTCTTGATGCTGATTTCGACTCAAAATTCATTACCTTCGGGTCGGAGTCAACTCATAGCAAACTCCAGCGAGTTTCCGAGGCTGTGACTCGCACGGGAGACTGCTTATCTTATTCTGGAGGAGCTGCTGGTAGATTGAAACCATTAGAAAGTTGTAGTCTTTAGGTTAACAGTACATCCTCCTACAAGCTATGCCATCAGAGCTCCCTGACACCCACGTCCCTTAATATCATGGTTCTTGGTGGTGCAGATAGTTGTGACCGGCTGCTGACTCTGAGGTTGGTGGTTCAGCAGCTCCGCAGGTGGCCTCGCAAGCTGTCTCCATAAAAGATGACCATGAGTAGGGCCAGCACCACGACAGCTAACACAAACACTTTTACATTTGCTCAACTTTTACTTTTTTAAAAATAGTATCCCTAAAATGGAGTGGTACCATATAATGCATTTCTAAGAAATTCTCTACCCTTTGTGTTTTCACTCCAAAAGCTGATAGTAAGTGAAACCAAAACCACTGCCAGTGAGTTGTTTCCAACTCATAGTTACCCTCTCCTGGATCTTCAGGGCTCTAGATCTTTATAAAAGGGGGCAGCACCTCTTTCTCCTGACGAGCAGCTGGTGGAATTGAACCATTGGGGTTTTTTTCCAGCTATCAACACACTATATACCATCAGAGCTCCTTAATATTAAGTAAACGTTTGCCTTAAGGGAGGAAGTACTTAGAACAAGCCTGTTTATTTCCGTAAACTTTCCCAAGGCATTATATGACCAACAGCAGAGCGAGAAAGCACCCTTGCCTGTATAATGTAGGCAGGGGCTTGTTTGAAAATAGACGTGATGGCTGTGATTTTTTTCTGTTTTTTTCCCCACTAGATTTTTCTGCCACAGTTCTCAGAACAGAGGCCTCGCCTGAGCCTCCTTTCTTGACTCCCATGTTAGCTGAGAGCACATTGGCCGTTCTAGTTGGGTGGGTTGTAGGGCTGTTTCTTTGGGGGGTGGGGGGCGGGAGGCAGAGTATTGGAAGGGACCCGCCTTCTTGAATTTATCTGTAGAATCAAGCCAGAACAAGAGAAGTGAGTGGGTAATCCCCAGCAGCTCGTCTTCTTTCCTCCAGCTCAAGAAAGTTGAGGCCTGGGTGTCATGGGGGCTGGGGGGTGGGGGGGTTGTTATGTACAGAAAACTGTATTGTCACATCTATGTCAGTGCTTGTCCTGAGCGTCGGGACCTAATGCTGCCCGTGCCTCACACACCTTTTCATCCTCAGCTCGTCTCCCAGGCCCTCTGAAGAAGGCGCAATGAAAAGTGAGCTGAACTTCTTCTAAACAGAAGGGTGGTGGGTTTGGTCATGAAAACGGCTAATGTTTTTTCCCCAAGAAATTCTCAAGTATGATGCGCTTGGAAATGGGTCTATGTAAATAGCCGTAGCTCCTTCTGGCGCAGTTGAATGCTATGATGCTGATGGTGATGATAATGATTATCATAGGAAAGCTGAACCTCATCATGAGGAAATTGAGACTGACCTTTTTGGTTTTGTAGAATTATTCTTCCTTTCCAATGTGACCTTGTTTTTAGGATCTTTGTTTAGTCATTTAAGCCAGGCACTGACAACAGTCTCCTTTGGAAGAAGGCTGCTTATATGCCATCTGTCATACTTTCTTCTGTGTATGTTCCTAGTATGGAGATGTCAGAATTGAAGTATGACATTTACTCATTATATTATCTGAACTATTTTCACAATTTAGAAATCTACCTACTGCTACAAACAGCATGAAAAAGCTTGTAAAACACCTCCACTGCCTCCACTTCTCAAATATGACCCCCAGCTTTGCCTCACATGGCACATAAGAGAAAACCCATACCAGAAGATGGGAGGTAAATTCTGAAGCACATACAAATTCTTGCTTGGTTTATAAACTGGTAGAACAGTTCTCTGGAAACTCTGTATACCATACTAAAATGGTATGTCTTGCCAGAATACAATAGAACAGGTCATCAGATCATTTGGTTTCATCTCATTAATGGTATTTAAATTTATGGCTATAACTTTCAACAGACAGCAAGGCATTGAACAACATTTCTGGATAGCACTTGCATGAGCTCTAGAGGTTCGAGGAGATTATGACGTTTTAAAAGAGAAAACTAACTGTATGAATTAGTCCCAGTTGTATCTCCTGAGTACATAATGGAAAATTAAATGCCAATACCTAAATAAGAAAGAAAAAAAAACCCACAAAAAACAAATGGTAAATAGACAAACTACTTAACATGTTTTGTGTGTGCTCTTTGCAGACATATGAAGATTCATGAGAAGGACCCTAACGGTGCTGCATCTGCAGCTCCCCCATCTCCACTGAAGCGTAGGCGACTGCCCCCCAAGAGGAAACTGAGTCACGATGCTGAGTTTGAGAAGGAAGACCCCACATGTGCTAAAAAGGTCCTGCCTGCTCCCAGCGTGCTCTCATCTTGAGACTTTTAAAATTATTTCTAGTCTGTCTTTTCTTAGTTTGGGTCCTTGGCAAAAATTCACCCTAAGCTTCCAATGCACATTCCCACACTCTTCTGGGAAGTGTCCACAGAAAAGTATACATTTGTGCCGCCTCCTTGGAGCTTCCTTCAAGGCTTTTTAACATTTTCCACACTTTTAAAATTGCATCTCTGATGGGACATAAGCCTCCTAGGTGTTAGGAACTCTGGGTCCCTCACTTTTGAATACCCATGCCTGGCACACGGGAAACACTGGTGGCCATCCAGAGTCAGCGCTGACTCTTGGCTACCTCACATGCATCAGAGAAGATGCACTCCACGAACTTGTTTCTCACAAGTAGACCACCAGGCCTTTCTTCCAAGGCACTTCTAGGAGGACTCAAACCACCAACTTTTCAGTTACCTGCTGAACACATATTAACCATTTATGCAACATGTGGTAGGTGCTCTGTGAGGACTATTGAGTAGGGGAGTGGGTTGAGGAATGGATGGACTATAGCATTTGTGAGAGTTTGTTTCTTGAATGAGTGACTAAACGGGAACATTCTTAATATCTTGCAGGGATATCTGTCCATTTGCTTTTTGTAGCGTCTCAACTTGGTGTTGATCTCTCTCTAGAACACATACACCCAGGAGGCCCGTTTGATAATTTTATCTTGTTCTTTCTCCTTAGATGTTAGAAGATGGACAGGCAAGTGACCTGGAGAAGAAGACTGATGAAGTTTTTCACTGCCCAGCATGTTTCAAAGAGTTTGTCTGCAAATATGGACTGGAGACCCACATGGAGACACATTCAGACAATCCCCTAAGGTAGGGAACTCCCGCCACCCTGGCTCCTGTGCCATATATCCTTCCTTTCCATTTCTCCAAACTGTCCTCAAGTGACTTGGTTTGTATGTGATGAAGATGATGATAAACCAAAACCCATTTGCTTCTGAGTTGATTCTGACACTTGGTAACCCCATGAGTATCGTGAGAGAATTGTGCTCCATTGGAATTTCAGTGGCTGATTCTCTGCAATTAAATTGCCAAGTCTCTCTTCCAAGGTATGCCTGGTTGGACTTGAACTGCCAGCTTCATTTAGCAGCTGAGCTTATTGATCACCTGCACCACCCAGGGCTGCCGAGGGTGGGGCAGCACTGGTTCAGTGGTAGATTTCTTGCCTCCCGTGGGGAAGGCCCTGGTTGGATCCCCAGCTGGTATACTTTGTGTGTAGCCATTACTCACCTGTCAGTGGAGGCTTGTATGTTGTTTCTAGGATGCTAAACAGACATCAGCAGAGCTTGGAGATTAAAACTAGGAAGAAAGGGCTGGTGGTCTACTTCTGGAAGAAACAAACAAAATAAAACCAACCCAGTGAAAACACTGTGGATCACATCAGTTTGGTCTGTAACCAATCCTAGAGGAGGAGGCACAGGACAATTTGGTATTTTGTATTATTTGTGTGAGGTTGCCATGTGGCTGGTTCAACAGCAGAGCAAACAATACCCACAACATGAACATATCAAGAGGAAACTGAACCATGTAAATGTGTGTAAATGGAACAAGATATGAGTAAGTCATTAAAAGGAATGTATGGTGGGGTCAAGAAGTATCAGAGAGTGGCTGGGACCCCAGGAGATCGTCACCAGATTCCACCCTGCTTGCTTTGCCCAATAAGGTACCTGGTGAGCCCCGAGTGCTGCAGGCCCCAGCCACATGCTGCCTGTGAATAACTGGCATGTTTTCTTCACGTCACTGTGCACGTTCAGCCAGAGCCAGCAGAAGCTGAGTCACACCCTCAGCACAGCACTGGCACATCTTAAGATGCTCACACATGTCTGGACCACGCTGGACTGGTAGCGCAGAAACCTTACACGTAGTGAGAAAAGGGGAGTTCTAGTACTGTGGGACACTCAGCCACAAGTGTGGTTCAACAGCAGTGACTGATGGCTGCTGCAGGTTCGGGGTCAACTCTGCCAGCCTCCAACCAAAAGACATAGACGCTGACCGTGGCTTCCAGCCGAGTTCCAGTGAAACTCATCTTTATATCTCTTACCTTCTCTGACAACATTTTCTTCAGGTCAAATTTCCTATGTTCTTCAAGAACAGATAGATTTGGGCCCTTTCTTAGGGAATTGCTGCTTGTTAAAATGCTACTACCCGTGGTTTTGTTTGTTTTTTTTTTAATTGTTGAAAGAGCAAAGAATACATGGGCACCTTTGCTACAGTTGAGAAATTTCAAAGTAGCATACCTTGAAAATCACAGCTTAAGGTTCATTAAAGAGCAAAGGTGAGTCTGTGTATAGGTTAGCCCTGTGTTTGAGAAGACAGCCTGGGGGTGTAGGAATGCGGGAATGGTTAGTCTGAATCACTGTTATATGGGCCAAACTTCATTCTTGAGGCCACATGTTTAGTTGTGACTTAGGCAAGAGAAGGTTTGAGCAAACTATAAAGACTTTGTTTTAGAGTGGGGGAAATGGGCCAGCCTAATTGTATAGTAACTTAAAACCATGTCAAATGTCATTATGCTTAATCACGTTAGCTTGACATTCTTCCATTAAGGAGAAAGAAAAGACTTTATGAAGAGTTTTAACCTGAGCTATTGAAGGTGCTGTAATATGTCACCATATGTTAGAGGCACAAACTGGTTGTCACACACCAGAGTCCTCCCTCACCTCTGCTCACATATGGCCCTGATGGGTCATGTCTCACCTCCGTTTCCTTATTCACCACATTCAGGAAGGATTATACCCAAGCTTCTCTGTGTTCTCCTTCAGACCTTAAATCCTGTGTGTCTGAAAATCCACGGACTCCATAAAGAACAAACAGATAGGTCTTGAAGAAGGTTCAGCCTTCTTACAGGCAAGGATGGTGAAGCTTTGTCTCTCATACTCTGGGCATGTTACTAGGAGAGGCTGTTCCTTGGAGAGAGACATCATGCTTGGAAAGGAGGAAGGTCACCAAAAGAGGGGAAGGCACTTAATGAGATGTACACAGGGACTGTAGCAGTGGGCTCAAGTATGTCAGAAATGATGAGGATGACACAGGATAGGACCGGGTTCAGATTTGTTGTTCATAGGGTCTCTGTAAGTTGTACTCTATTTGATGACCTAACAACAACAAAAACCCTGCAGTCCTGCTTATCCAGAAAAAGCAGAGAGATTCAGGGCCTGGGCTCCCCAGTTTCCTCAAAGTCTACAGCATCCCCAAGACTTGAGAGGTGGTTAATTGGTATTAAAAAAAGATTTCTCTAGACAGAGAGCCTGAACAAGCAGAGATGAGGTGTCCAGAGGAACTGTGGGTGGTGAGTCGCTGGCAGAGGCAGTGGGACCCCAACTCCCTGCAAAACTGCGCCCTCACCTGGAGTTGTAAGCATGCCTCTGCCTTCCACCATATAGGTTATTTCTTTTGATACTTGATTTTGTCATGAGATAACTACTCCTTTGCTCCTTCCTAAAAAAGTCTTATTTTCACAGGAAAATCTTGACCTAGTAGCTTCTGGGAAGTCCCATCCTGCAGAGCACAGGGTATGGACATGACAGGATTGTCGTCCCCCCCCCTGCGCCCCCACCCCTTAATGCTTGTTTGGACAGGGATGTGGTTTCTCCTGGCCCTTCTGGTCTGAGCCCTGCTCCAGGGAGAGGTGTTGTCTGTGAGTGAAGAAGTTAAATACTTGACTACTAGTGGAAAGGTTGGCAGTCCTACCCAGAAGCTTTTTTGAGGAGATCCTTGGTGGTCTACTTCCCAGACTTCTGGGAAGTTCTCCTGTGAGCCACATGGGTGCCATGGTTCAGAATCTATGGGGGACCCTTGGTTCTTGGGAAAGACTGGAGTTTCCCACTCCAAGCAGGAAGAGGTGGGATGCATTTGAACACTTTCTTTCACTCACAGGTAGAATAGCCACATTGCTGAGTAATTCGCCATGAATGCCAATGGTGTCACTAGGGTTGTAATGTTGACCCTCGTGCTCTGCCTTTCCTGCTAACAAGGTGGAGCATTGTTCTTACCCATTCAACAGGAACCCCCTTTGTTTAGTGAGGGCTTAATGGAGACTTTCTGTAGCCACTCTTCCATTCAGCCTCTCTAGGCAGCCTTTAGGGAGCCCTGTAGGCACTCCTCTGCTAACCCAGAAGGTTATTAGTTTGAACCCACCAGCTCCTCTTTCTGGAAGAAAGATGTGGCTTGGAATGATTACAGGCTTAAGAGCCCTGTGGGGCAGCTCTCCTCTGTCCTGCGTGGTTGCTGAGAACAGAATCAGCTTGACAGCAAGTGGGTTTGGGCTTGGACAGCCTTTCCATTTCTTGAACTCCCTGAACACCCAGGATTGCCTTGTGTGCTGGATGGGGAGCCATCTCATCACCCTGCTTGTCTGCTTACTGGGTGGGGTGGGATGTAGGTCTGGAAACCAAAAGGAGCTGATTAGAGAACATAGTTACCGCCTCCTTCCCCCGGAGTACCCTTCCATCCCACATAATACCCTGCTGTAAGAGGCTGCCTTGGGGCCAGAAGGGCCTAACCAGGCAGTGAACTGTGACGGGAGCTGGTGGGGAGAGAGACTGCCGACCCAGAGCTAAAATAGGCACCAACTCCATTTTCAAACCCCAAAGGGCACACGACCACAGAGGGATGCTACCAGTTCAGACAGAAAGTTTATAACTCAAAACAGCTGTTGCTCCTCACTGCTCCCCTTCAGCCCTCCCCACATCCTCAGCTGGCAGGGTGCCCACTGTGCCTTCATGAAAGCATCGGGAATCCAGAGTCATCAAAATGCTGGGTCCTTTTTCCTCCACTGCCTGGTGTTTGAAATTAACGGAATGTTCCTGTAGAACAGGAAGGGAGCCACGGAGCCACTTGGAGCTGTTCTAGCTCCTGGTGGCAACTCTGCCAGCACCCTGCCGTGACCAGCAGTAAATCCTCCTTCCCAGGCCCCCCAGCAGATAGAGAAGGCAGCACGGGAAGCCTGGGGCTTGCTGGGAGCTGGCATTTGGAATTGGAAGTTATCAAATAGGGAGTTCAGGGAGCCAGTGGGTGGAAAGAGGACACCCCTTGTGTGGGGATGCTTTGTGGTTTTGGGTATCTTGCTGGGTTATAAGAATAGAACAGAGTGACAAATTGTAGCTTCTGTGAATCAGGTTAGATGATGGAAAGTTTAGGTCAGCACCACCTAATGGAAATAGACTGTGAGCCACACATCTCGTTTTAAGAAAGTAAAGAAATAGGTACTGTCAATAGTATCTTATTGTTTGTAGCAGTATACTCCATATTTAAGTTCATAATTTTGGCATAAAAGCCACTAATGGTCTATTTTGTATTCTTATGTTAAGTCTGAAATCTATGTGTATAATTACCTACAAGTATGATAAAAGGAGAATTGATGCCTTTGAGCTGTGGTGCTGGAGAAGAGTATTGAATGTACCATGGACTGCTGAGAGAACAAACAGGTTCATCCTAAACAGGGTTCAACCAGGCTGCTGCTGCTGCTCCTTGGAGGCAAGGATTCTGAAGCTTCATCTGATGTACTTTGAAGGGACCCGTCCTTGGAGGGGGACATAATGCTTGGGAGGGTGGAGGGACAGCACAAGAGGGAAAGACCTTCAAAGAGATGGATTGGTTCAGTGACTGGGCTAATGGGAGTAGGTGTGTCAGAGACAGTGAGATTGACACAGGATAGAGCAAGGTTTAGGGCTATTGTACATAGGGTCGCTGTGAGTCGCAGATAACTCGACAGCACATAACAACAAACAACAATACCCATTGCAGGTGAATGGGTTCCAATTCATGGCATCCCTCTGTCAGATTTTCAAAGCTGTAAATTTCTGGGAGGAGAC